AGAGAGCGCGCGACAGTCGCCTCCAGCTCCGAGGCTCTAGGCGACCGGCATCGCCGGTACAACAACTTGAAGCAATGCCACATTCTAGCCAGAATAAACAATACACTATTAAATCATTAATATATACAAATGATGCATATATCATACAATGGTAAGAAAATACTTTATAAAAACGCCATACATGTGCAATACATACAAATGATACAAATATAAACACAAATACTACCACTTACAAACAAGACATATACAACAGAACAATAATATATCCAGACGAGACGTATAGAACTTACATCAGGACAATGATGTCGACGGCGGCGGCGTCGTATTCAGCAGTCGCCACGCGACACAACCTCCACGCAGTCTCCACGTTGCCGATTTTGTAGCATCTTGAATTAGCGCAACAGAGCAACTGTTTGGTGGTTTGATTGTTGTTAAGACTCATGAGTCCAGCATAACCATCCTGTTGGCCAGCTGCTCCGTACGCTGCGTGAACAACTACGACTCTGCGCCTGAAGGTGTAATACCCTGCGTGTATATCGCCAATCGTGTCCTGCCAAATCGGATCGTTGTGCTTGAATGGCTATTGCATTTCCTCTTCATCTCTGGAAGCTCCCTGAAACTAAACACTATACAATCGCCATTATTGGCCACGGCGAACCCACTGCTGGATGAAGGCCTTCCAAACCTCTGGCACATCTTACGATCCTGCGATGCCACTCTCTATCCAACATGAACTGACCTCATTCCTCTGTCTCCTCGGTGTGCGTCCTCTCGGATGCGTTCTATTCCTTTGCGTCCGCTCCGTTATCATTGCTGACCATTGCCATCCAATCTAGGGACGTGTCCTGCCCAAGCCGACTTTCCTTCAACGATTACGTGGTTAAAAGTATTTGCATAATGTAGCGACGTAGACAGTGATTTATGAACCCCGTGTCCTGAGTTAGATTCCCAGCTACGGCTAACACAGGAGGCGAGCACTGGCGAGCATGGTGAAGTATGGTCAGACTGCTACGGTTCGACCGACACGGTGTGGGGAGGTTCTTCATTCAGCAGAGGTTTGAGTTATTTACGCAAACTATATATACAGATACTATTAAAACGATACCAATGTACAAATACACATGAATAATATTTAATGTTCCTTTATATGTCAACTATAATCGAAATAAATATCTCCGAATGCATATAATATACCAACTGTACACTGCACAAATATAAGACAACACGAAATCACGTAACTGAAAGCATTGCTGAACGTCAATATGTTACGTCAATATGTTTCAGAACAGATCATGTGCCAAGTCGAAGTGATGTTCTACTCAAACGAGCATTGAGGCGGTGTTCATCTCCTGGTAACAGCCTTGACATAGTGGTTGAAATTCCACATTCATATGGTGGGGGCGAGTCTGTCCATAAAACAATCAGAAACCATACACGCAAGACAGTGAGTAACTCACGTACTACCCTGGGCATCTCATCGACTACGTGATGAGTACACGGGTCCAAGTCCAGTCAGTTTGCTGTTTTATTGCAGTCCTCGATCAAGTGAGCGCACAGGCTGAACGCGTCTCCCTTACCATTGTCACGTTTTGGTGTTCGCGCCAAGCTCACGCAGACGCGACGTTTCAGACAGTCCTCAGGAGTGTTGCCAATACGATATTATCAGCCATTTATTCAAGATGGAAATCCCGGCCACTTTTCTTCTGGTCCAATGCCATTTCCCAGGCATCTTAATGTTTGTGATTATAGAATGTTTAAAGGGTCCCATAGATGTGTAACGCTTGCGTAAATCACAATTTTTGCCGAGTCCTCTATTGGCATGTGGACTTATTTTTTATCTCCGCATGAGAAGCGCCATGCTATCTGGGAGACCGTCCGTGATGCGATTCGAAACCTGCAGAGTCGCAGGCTTCGTAATGTTGACTGTAATATCCGAAGTTATTGACATCGGATATTACACCCAACACACACTGCTCGGTATGAGCTATCTGCGGAGCGTAACGTGACTGTCCGTAAATGCCGTAACTACTAAACAATTCTATTTTACCAGGTTAGGACCACTGAGCTCTATAGCTATTTTTTTCGAAGCGACCTGGCTAACACAAATGATAGCTTAACGAAGTGGCTTATTTGGAAATGTATAGCGGCCAAATGCTCTGAGCGCATGTATCTAAACGTGGAGGGGGAAACCGGAGGACCCGGAGGAAATTTACGCGACCACGAGGAGAGACATGCAAACTCCAAATATACAGCAGGCATCAGGGCTGGGATCGAACCCGCGACATCCTGTATACCAGGCGAGGTAGTGAACATTTCGCCATCTCGGCGCCCGCTATAGTGACCCCAACACCTTCCCAACTCAAATACAATTGTATCGTTGTCTACACTTGCGTTTTGAAATAAATCAATGATTCATATTCTAAATGAATTTAAATGCGCAGGTAATATAGACCGCACGTGTATACTGAATACATTAAAGCATAAAATCAGAACTCTGTAAACTCTAAAAGACTACGTTTACTTAAAATATCGCCCGATAGCATTTACCAAACTATTGGGGAAAGTGCTGTTAGCGATCACCGATGAAGGCCGGAACATCACACGAAGGGTTAGGTGGCCAGCACCACGCCCCGATCGCCTTTGTCTCCCCAGTGCGAGCGATGTTTACACACTACACCAAGTACTCATTTGAGGCTGAGTCGACCTAGGGGAGGCCCAAGACTGGTTAAGATAATGGTCACTGGTGTTGGCCGTGAGCGGGAACCGCTACACTACTGCTCCCTACTCAAATTATCAACCACACTGTAGCAACACGCAGAATGTTTTCATTTATTCGTGATTTTTTTACACAAATTTTGTATTTGCTTAATTGTATCAATTTAATGGATTGCTTTTGTAATTTTGGAGGCCCAAGTCACTCTTGCAAAAGAGACAATCCTGGTTACTTGACTTTTCACAAGGTTGAACACTTGAACCTCAGCATCAACAAAGGGGCATTTGCGAGACACCGGTCAGCGGTAGGGACAGACGCTGCGGGAGCGACGCCGACGATGGCATCGCCCCGCGCCCCGCAGTGGGGGGGGGGGGGGGGGGGGTGGGGGGGGCACCGTCTCGAGACGCAGGTCGCGGGGGCCTCGTCTCCCGAGCGCCGCTCGCGCCGCACGCCCCGCGGCTCGTCTCGCCACGAGTTCCCCCCAAGAGAGGGGACGCAACGTCGTTGTCACGCTGTGACCATTGGTTTCTCATCCAATTTCCAAATCCCATTTCACGATGTTATTGTATTATTTTATTGCATAATTATTGTCGTGCTGTTATTGTACTTCCAGCCTCACCTGCAGCTCACGCCACAAATGATGCACTATGATCATGCACGATGATCATGCACTATGATCATGCACTATGATCATGCACTATGATCATGCACTATGATCATGCACTATGATCATGCACTATGATCATGCACGATGATCATGCACTATGATCATGCACTATGATCATGCACTATGATCATGCACTATGATCATGCACGATGATCATGCACTATGATCATGCACTATGATCATGCACTATGATCATGCACTATGATCATGCACTATGATCATGCACTATGATCATGCACTATGATCATGCACTATGATCATGCACGATGATCATGCACTATGATCATGCACTATGATCATGCACTATGATCATGCACTATGATCATGCACTATGATCATGCACTATGATCATGCACTATGATCATGCACTATGATCATGCACTATGATCATGCACTATGATCATGCACTATGATCATGCACTATGATCATGCACTATGATCATGCACTATGATCATGCACTATGATCATGCACTATGATCATGCACTATGATCATGCACTATGATCATGCACGATGATCATGCACTATGATCATGCACTATGATCATGCACTATGATCATGCACTATGATCATGCACTATGATCATGCACTATGATCATGCTATCGCGCTATTTTGCAGACCGCACAATGCCTTACCAGTGGACCCTATCGAGTGTACACATTATTGGCGACGTTTCGGACAATGGTCCTTGCTCATCGCGCTTAGAGAGGCCAAAGTGAATAATAGTTGGAGACTGCACTTTTCCCATTCGCCCGGATGAAAATTAAATGATAAATGTTTTTTGATGGACAGTTTTTAAATAGACATATGAATAGTTACATAACAGTAGCTATTGAGTAACAGACGCACCTTTCAATAATCTAAATTTATTCCTGTCACTGTTCACGTCAACCCCTATGTTACACACACACACTGCTCTATGTTACACACACACACTCCAGCATGTCACACACACACACACACACTCCAGCATGTTACACACACACACTCCTGTGTCACACACACTCCTGCATGTCACACACACACACTCCTGTATGACACACACACACACTCCTGTGTTACACACACTCCAGTATATTACACACACACACTCCAGTATGTTACACACACACACTCCAGTATGTCACAGACACACACTCCAGTATGTTACACACACACACCTGTGTCACACACACAGACTCACCTGTGTTACGCGCACACACCTTGAGGTTACACAAGTTCTGCCATCTGCAACAACGAACGTGTGAGAGGCCCCTGCGTGACATGCACAGATTTGATCGCTCTGGCGACGCGGACGCGAGCTCCAGAACTCGCGTCCGCGATGCCACCACCACGCGTGGTCGTGGCCCCGAGACTCTGCAGCGCAGACAGAGACGCGTCCCCAGTGCCAAACACAACGCAAGATGAACGCTGACGATCCGCCTCCGTCTCTTACAATATTCGAATCGCATATCGTCACGATGCAACGACATGCGGAGGAGACGCAAAAGAACCTGTATGGACTGAGATCACCACGGCGCGCGTGAAATGCGGGAGCGATTTCCCTGCAGCCGGGCGGGGCCTCGCTGAGACTTCTGCTGGGAGCCTCTCTCCTCCCTGTGCCCGCGCGGCGCACTCACGGGGCGCCTCGTGCTGCTCTTTGCTGCCGCTGCCGCCGCTGATGCTGCGCGACATGAGTGCGGCGATGGAGAAGGCGGTGGCGCGGGACGAAAGCTGCGCCTTGCTGCAGCCATCGGCGGCGCGCGGGGGGGTCACGTCCATAGCGCCGCGCTTGGGTCGCCGCGACTCATGGGACGCCACCGTCCTCCCGGCAGTGGCAATAAGAGGAGCTCGCAGACTGGGAGCGGCGGCACCTATCAGCGGTGTCGATCACCACCTTGATGCCCTGCTACTGGTGAGGAGGACGATGACACTTCTGCTACTTATGACATTGTGATGATACCGTTGCTGCTATTAATAGTGATGTTTTCCTTCTGTTTCTGCCGCTTCTGATGACGACGATGATACTTGTGCTACTTGTGATGATGATACTTCTGCTACTGCTGCTAATGCCCGTGACAGGGAAGAGATGCCCGCTGTTTGAATGAAGGGGAGAACGTTCGAGGGGGCGGGGAGCAGGGTACGGTGGGTGCAGGGGAGGCGGGGTGAGGCTCCGGGTCAGGACACGAACAACGGCAGCGCAGGGTGTGGTGAGAACAGCCCCTGGTGAGCACACAACCTGGTGAGCACACAACCTGGTGAGCACACAACCTGGTGAGTACATCACCTGGTGAGCACATCACCTGGTGAGCACATCACCTGGTGTACACACCACCTGGTGAGCACACAACCTAGTGAGTACATCACTTGGTGAGTACATCACCCGGTGTACACATCACCTGGTGTACACATCACCTGGTGTACACACCACCTGGTGAGCACACAACCTAGTGAGTACATCACCTGGTGTACACATCACCTGGTGTACACACCACCTGGTGAGCACACAACCTAGTGAGTACATCACTTGGTGAGTACATCACCTGGTGTACACATCACCTGGCGTACACATAACCTGGTGTACACACCACCTGGTGAGCACACAACCTAGTGAGTACATCACCTGGTGTACACATCACCTGGTGTACACACCACCTGGTGAGCACACAACCTAGTGAGTACATCACCTGGTGAGTACATTACCTGGTGTACACAGCACCTGGTGAATACATCACCTGGTATACACATCACCTGGTGAACACATCACCTGGTGTACACATCACCTGGTTAGTACAGAACCTGGTGAGCACATCACCTGGTGAGTACATCACCTGGTGAGCACATCACCTGGTGTACACATCACCTGGTGAACACATCACCTGGTGTACACATCACCTGGTGAGCACATCACCTGGAGAGCACTGCAGCTGGTGTACACATCACCTGGTTAGTACAGCACCTGGTGAGCACAGCACCTGGTGAGAACGCTTTACACAGCAGGAGTCGCTTCGCTTTACCTGGTGAAGTCGCGAATGCTCACATGTTCTTGGAACTGGTGTCGTACAGATTCGGCAGTACATACAAGGTACTATCGAGGATACCGCGTGTTCCTTACACACACGAGGACCGTGCGCGTTAACGTACGCAATGGTGTTCACATGCCGGTGCTCGCTCATGCAACACTGACGCTCACGCTGCACACGAGAGGGGTGTTGCATCGCTAAGACTCGACTCGGTCTGTGGGGTCACGGCCGTGACGTTTACGTCCTTGGCCATGAAGCGAACCCCACAGTGTGGCTGGAGCCGAGTTCGCGCCTCTCGTCCAGGCTTTCAACCACGAACTTGGGCGGAATCAGTGCGCCCCTCTCGTAGCATCAAGCAGCGCCGCTGCGGGGCGCGAGTCTCCCTGTCGCTGCAGGATGCGAGTCTCCCTGTTGCTGCAGGATGCGAGTCTCCCTGTTGCTGCAGGATGCGAGTCTCCCTGTTGCTGCAGGATGCGAGTCTCCCTGTTGCTGCGGGACGCGAGTCTCCCTGTTGCTGCGGGAACGCGAGTCTCCCTGTTGCTGCGGGACGCGCACTGGGATGGAGCTCTCCGCTGCGCTGCGGTCTCTCAGGTGGCCGAGATGGGCCGCTGCCACTGGCACGGCTGACGGTGTTGGTGATGCAGCGAGTGGCCATTCGTTTTTGCAGATATGGGCACCATAACGAGCAGGGGAGCTCCACACCAGTATGGGCTCCGTGTGTGCGTCAACCACGATAAGCCATGATCATTCCACTGCTGGATGAAGTCCTCCCCAAGGCAGGGGGTTGACCATACTTTACCAAGCTAGCCAGTGCGGGTCGGCGAAGGGAACACAAATGTCGCCTTACCTCTCGCTGAGTGCCCGACTTAGATGGCTGCCCCTTATCCAGCACCGCTATGCCGATTTCCAAAGCATTGCCGCCTCGGCAAGCCATTGGCTCTGTTGACGATGTCTGTTCTGTACAGCACACATATGGCCCGAGTGTGTGCGTGTCTTGCTTTTGCAAGCTTTGTTTGTGAGAGTTTGCAATCGGAGGTTGTTAAGGCTGCAAAAGCCAAATGGCATCAGATATTTTAGGACCGTCGCCCCAAAGTTTACATCTCGGACTTTCGAAGGGTCCCTAATAACCTACACTTATTATTGTGGGACCCAACATTGGTGCCTGAGTGTTTGACCTTTCTCATTTTTAAACATAGCCAAGCTCAAGTCGGCATCGGGAGATTTTCAAATATCATCATATTTCCCATTGTATAATTTATCGGCTGTGCTTTTCAGAAGTGCATCAGAGCCGATAGAAAGCGGACGAAGCCCACTCGCTGCAGTCACTACCTACCGGGAGTTCTGCGTGGAGAGCCGCCCGGCCTCTACCACGGCGGGGACTGGGAGCCGAGACCCCCTCGCCTCAGTGTCCCAGCAGAGCAACGCTCGCAGGCTGCGTGGTGAACACGCGCGAGTGGAACTATGGCGGAGATTCCATCCTCAACCTGCTTAGATCCAGATAATGGCGATATCGAACGCATTGAGGGTGATTTCGCATGAGGCTTTATACCCAGCTGGACACATAACACAATACACAACTGTACAGTACACATAACACAAGACACACGTCTACCCATAACACAATAAAAACAACAGCCGCTGTTCGCCACGAAGTTGCATTGACGTCAGTTCGAGTGCTTGTACAAGGCTAGGTGCACCTCGAGGCCACAGTGAAGTATCGAAGGTTCGCTGACACGAGTTCACGGGAGAAACTCGGGTGATATTGGTTACCTGACTGACATGACTGGCAGATGCACCACCTGTGCTCCCTACTGTGCCAACTTGCTGCATTTTACCCGCCAGGCACTCCGCTCTTTGTGAGCGTCGCTCCAATATCCTCCGTTGTTGTTGGAGGGCGACTGCCTCCAACTGCCCAGTAGCGTCCTTCATAAACCTCCACATAGGTCGATCTTGACACCGCTGCACCACATCACTCCATCTCTTCTCTAGCCCGTGACACGCCCGTTTAGCCCCCACTCTATGCGGGAAACAAACGCTGCTTTAAAATACGGTGGATGGGCATGTGGGCTCCAAAACCCAGCCAACACAGCCTCGCCTGCCGGAGGAGCTCACCAATAGGATGGTGTCCAGATATTTAAATAATCTGTGAGCTCATCACACAATCCAGTCTGGTTAAACCCAGGATGGATCGTGGGCAGGCCGACCTTAATGTTTCAAACCGGTGCAGATGTTCCATCAGAAGGGTCCAGGTTTCTCACGCATTGAGAAGGGTGGGCATAACTTTGGACAAGAAGACCTGGAACTTCGTATGGAGCGACAGGCCAGGTAGCTTCCACACAGCATTACCCAGCTGATGAAAATACCGTATAATGCCGCTCGCCTGCCAAACCGAAACTTGCTATAAGCACACTTCCAAGGTATGGGAACTTCTCCACTCTCTCTCCACAACTGTCCCATCACTCATGGAAAGTTGACGTGGTCCAGTGTTTGATAGCATAACATATCCAAATAGGTGCTTTGTTTTTGTGGGGCTGATTGTAAGGTCCCACCTCTTCGTCATATTCCAGGTTCAGCAGCAGTCACCAACTCCTCAGAGTGAGCAGCAGTTACCAGATTATACGCATACATAACATGATTGACCAATGAGGCATCAATCACCCTCCCATTGTATCTGTACCAGATGGAAATTCCTCTGGTAGAGGCATTGAAAGCATAACACAACACACCTGTATGCATAACACAATACACACCTGTATACAACCAAATATCCCCACATACATGTTACACAAGTGACACGTTAAGCCACGTCTCAGATGTTTGGTAACAGTCGGTGGGAGACCCGTGCTGCCACGGCGTGGAGCTGCATTCCTTGCGGCTCGTCAGCGACGACTGAGACGGGGGGGGGGGAAGGGATCGGCCTCCCTGGGAGGGGACCCGTGTGCTCCTGTGACCAGGCCTCGGCCTCCGGCCGGAGCGGTGACGACATGAAGCGCCGCGTAGCGCAGCCACTCGGAGCGGAGAGCGGCTCCGATGTCAAACGGGGACCCGGGGGAGCAGAGCGCGCGACGGGGCACAGTGGCCCGGGTTACGCGTCCCCGTGCACATTAGCAGATGAAGTATATAGCGACGTGGGGCGCGTCTGCGCCATAACTCGATTTCGGAGCTGAAGCGAGGGTCGGTGGGGCTCGGATCCGATTAGGAGGCGTACTGATTAAATGGCATCGCGGACCGTGATCAGATTACTGTCGCGTGCGAGGAGCATGCAGGGGGGAGGGCGGAGATGGACCTGGGAGGTGCATGGAGAGGGGGATGATGACTTCTGAGCGAGAAGGCAACTGCCCAGAGAGGCAATGCCAAAGATGTGCGTGCGCGCTCTCGCTACGCGCTCCTCGCCGCGTGCCACCCGCGTGACCCCCTGATACCACACGCCTTGACCCTCGCCTCGCACTTACACAAGGGGATGTGTCAGGACAGCGACGCGGGGCCATTATGCCACTGACATTCCAATCAATGCAAATCTACTCAGCCCGCACCCACCTGATGCACATGACACAAGAACACCACGCGCGACACCGCGGGGAACACGAGGCCTCGCCTGCACTCAAGGCGATGTGCACCCGGCGTCTGTGCTGTGCACGACAGCGCGGCGCCAGAACAGCGGATACGCGAGTGCGTGCCACCCGGCAGAGACAGGGGACATGGTTGTGCACAACCTTGTGCCGTGGAACGTTGAAGGAAATGCGGGTGATGTCCTGCTCAAGTGACCATTGGTGCTCACCTCTTGTTTGCAGCCCTGAGTCAGTGCTCGAAATTCCAGCTTCCCATGGAGGAGAGTCTATCCCTAGGACATCCACTGTTGACGCCTCACGAAGTGGTACTCATTTTGAATGACTGAGGCAACCCCCAACCGGGATTTTAACTCGCAACCTTCCGATTGCGGACCACTCGCTCTAGCAGCCTGGTCGGCTACATTCAGACACAGGAACTCGTTCTAAAATATGGATCTCCTAGAATACGTCTTCCGTCTGTGTATGCGATGCGTTTTGCAACTAAATAAGGAAAAGG